TTAATTTAGGAGCAGTGCAAAGACGGAGAAGCACCTACTTGGAAAGTTTAGTGAGTTCAGAGTCTTTCAGGCTTCTAGAGCTGCACTGAGGATGATTCAGTTTAATACAGAGGAACCAGCTATCAGAAATTCCTTTCAGAAAAAAAACAATTCCCAACTGTTTCTTCCCCCTCTGCTGGGACCTGCCAACATTTTTGCTTAGCTTGGCAGGGGGTTCCAGCCTTCCCCTCCAACCTCTGCTCAAGCCTTGATTGTAAACCTTTAATTCTGCATTGGGGATGATGGAAACAGTCTCTGCTAGCTCCTTGCCTCTTAGCCCTGGCCCTTGAGCCCACTCCCAGACTTCTTCCCACCATCCATCAAAACAGCCTGGTATTTGTCTGGCTACACAGCCCTTCGTGTCACCCATCCTGCTTTATGAACAATGAGACACCCACCCACAAATTAAGGGATACCAACAGCAAATTAATATGGTTGGTACTTAGGAGTTGGATATCTCTGCAACCAACACAAAGCACAGACTAAATAAGATCACTACTTACTGTGATATTGTTTGCAGAGGAGAAAGAGGAAATACATTTCACAAGAGACTGGGAGAGCACCAGAATATCAATACAATGCTCACAAAACAAGTTTAATCCATTTTTAGCCTGTAATAAACAATGAAGTCTGCAAAACCTTGACAAGAATACATTCTGCATCCTCAAGGAGGGCAACACAACAGGATATGTGGAAAGAAAAAGTTTGCTGGTACCATGATAAGAACTCAGAGTAGGGTCTGATTATCTTCACCAGCTCATGGGACTCTGAAGTGAGTTTTTGCTGTAGAATCACAAATAGAAATGAAGTATTCACCTTATGCAGTTGGCACATACAGCTCCTTTTGCACTAGATAATGGCACTTTGTATTGGCCTGTCTGGGATAGAGTTAATTTCCTTTACAGTTGCTCATATGGTTCTGTGTTTTAGATTTGTGACCAGAACAATGCTGTTAACACGCCGATGTTTTAGCTATTGCTGAACAGTGTTTGCACAGCATCAAGGCCGCCTCTGTTTCTCACTCTGCTCCCCCAGTACATAGATTGGGGGGTGCAGAGGAGGTTGGGAGGGGACACAACCAAGGGGATGACCTGAGATAACCAAAGAGATATTCCATGCCATATAACATCATGCTCAGGAACAAAAAGGGAAAAAGGGGGATTTTTGTTAGGTTAGCCATCTTTTGCTTGGGAACCAGCTGGGTATTTGTCTACTCGTGGGAGGTGGTGAATGATTGCCTCTGCATCACGTGCTTTGTTTTGTTTTCTTTTTCTCATCATACACTGCTCCTTCAGTTATTAACTATTTTTCTCTCGACCCCCAAGTTTTCTTGCTTTTACTTGTCCTTTCCTCTTCCCCCATCCCACTGGAGTGGGGGGTGGAGGGGAGTGAGCAAGCGGCTGTGCAGTGTTTAGTGGAATACAGTAGTTAACCCACACCTATTACACACTTGGAGCACAGAGTGGAAACCTGTCCTGGTTTTGGCTGGGATAGAGTTAATTTTCTTCCGAGTAGCTGGTACAGTGCTGTGTTTTGGATTTAGGATGAGAACAATGTTGATAACACACCGATGGTTTAGTTGTTGCTGAGCAGTGCTTACACTAGTCAAGGACTTTTCAGCTTCCCATGCTCTACCGACTGAGAAGGCTGGAGGTGCACAAGAAGCTGGGAGGGGGCACAGC